CATTTTCTTAAGGTGCTTGCAGTCCAACGGGAAGATAAAGTGGGCATGCAGATAATTCTATTGCAAGGTCTAAAGAATGCGGTGCTTTAAATGGTACCTTTGTTAGCCTGGACAAGTCTCCCCTTTGCCTGGGGCTGTCCTTGCCAGGCCGTTGGGAGAATCTGGCTTATGCTTAGGGAGTGGTCCACATTTGCATTGCTTGACTTCCCTCCAATTCCAGCAGCCGGTTTGGGATGTCCCCTTTCACCCCAGAAAGCACAGAGGCACCTGGTCCTCTAGCTCTGTTGAAAGATCTGAATGTCATCACAGGACCAGGGATTCGCGGGTAAGTAATCCAGAGGTCAGGGTAGTGTGTAGTTCAAGTGCATCCCTCCACCACGCCAGGCGCTTGGCTGCCCCTGTTAGAATTTTGCCGTCTCTGTCTAGGCAGTAATGTTTCTGCTTCTTTTCCTCTCGCTTCAAATGCACTTTGACATTTCTTAACAAATAACACAATTTTCCCTTTGTGTTTCCCTTAATAAAACACAGAAATGATAGCAAGGAAAGGAAAGTAAAAAAACGTGTTCCTGTCATCTCCACTCTGCAGAAGGATGTCCGCCCCCTCCCTCTTTTCTTCCCTCCCACCGAGTGAGCATTGGTCTCTGGCTCCTCCATCCGCACTCCTCTCCCCAAATCTCAGCCACAAAGATTCATGAGTCTGATATTTTTGCTTCTCCGTTTTCTGCCATGGATAGGTAAGCTCGACGGCTAGTCTGCACGTCTCACCCCCATCTTCTACAAATTGCTGTTGGACTGAAGACAGACTATGGGGAGAACCTGCACAGGATCAGGAGAACCTCCCACTTGGAGAGGCACCCCAAGCTTCCAAGGTCCCTGCACACTCTCCGAGCCCCATAGATACTCCCATTTATTGGCCCAGGCCTGTCTTCCTCCAATGATGGCAGCTTCCAGAGCAACCTGGCAAAGGCCCCACATTTTCTCCTCAAAGCAAAGCACTAGGCTTGAGACATAGTTTCTGGATCTCTTGGAATTGGCTTGACGTTGCAATATTTTCTGATGTTGGGAACAGCCACCCATCTCTTAGCAAGGATAAATGCAAGTTTCTACACTTGGATCCAAACACCAGTGGTACAGATGCAATGTGGCAGAAATGTGCCCTAGCAGCCACCCATGTGGAACAGGACTGAAGAGGTTTTGTTAGTGATACACCCCGTGTGAGTCCAACAGCAGCCACTGAATGCAAGTGCAAACTCAGGTCCCGTTCCTGGGTGTTATATTTCTCGAGAAAGGCCCTGAACACACTATCCCTGGAAAGTTGCAGCAAGTCTGGGTGCCATAGTTTATGAGAGATTTGAAAACTGGATCAGGTTCAGAGGAAAGTGGACAGGAAGGTGAGAGCAGTGCTGCCCTCATCTGAAGGTTTTATTACTAGAAGGAAGATTTGACGTTCTGAATGGCCAGCCCTGAGGAATCAATGGGTCAGAGGGTGAAAGCTCTAGAGAAATGCATTTTGCCCCAATTACAAATAAAATAGTTGGACAAGATGTGCTTTAAGGTCACTTCCAACTCTAAAAGTGCAATTTTTTGGGGTCCCCTGAGAAGCATATCTACCTCACTTCCACGAATTGTCAGCAGGAAATACTTCTTTCTGATAAAAGGGAGAATGTCTGCTACAACTCATGATGATGGCTTCTGAAAAAAAAAAAAAAACACAAAAGAGAAAAGAAAATAAATAAAAATTAAGAAAGAAAAATTAAAAAATAGAAAAATAAATAAATGAAAGGGAGAATGTGGTTTATTCTTCATATAGGCCTCTGGACAGTGGCTCTGTGACATCGCCATTCATTAAAAAGGTAAAATCATAGCATTTGGGTTTAAGCCACAGGAAACCCACGGAGAAGCTTTCACAGATGGGTCATGGGGACTCGCTGTCCATCCATGTCACCGAGTTGGCTAAGGCCAAATTAAAACCATCCTGGGGTAGGAGTGGGATTCGTGATGCCCACTTCACCGAAAGAGGTTAAATAAATGAGCTGTACCTTGGTTGCTTTAGACACGTCGTTAGACACATAAGGCCGGTCTACACCTAGACAACCACTGCCGAGCACACCATAAGGATCTGTTGCTTCTACAGCCCGCCCCACGGGCCAAGGCCAGTCTGATTCCACAAACTTTAGACTGTGAGGGTCTTGCAGACTACATAGAATAGCCCCTCATTCCAGAGAGAGGAATTGGTGTCCAGAAAATGGCACCAAGGGCCCTCCGGACCCTGGCAGAACTGGGAATGGAACTGGGGTCCTTTGATTCCTGACACTTCACTGCAGTAGTGCTTCCGGACCATAGTGAGAGCTCCACCCACCCCCCCAGCCAAGTAAATGGTATTTGTAAATCACACATATGTATCTGGCTGAAGTGGTAGGGCTTATAATGTAATTATGAGATACAGCCCCCATCCTGAAGTGCCCAGTGTCTAGGTGGGGAAAGACATTCTCACCAGAAACTTGAGTGATCTACACTAATCAGTCAGGCTGCCTTCAAGATGTAAGAACCGTTTGAAAGATTTGGGCCTCAGATCACAGGAGAATTTATCCACTTTCAGGATATTCACTGTAAGGAACAGTCTTACCACTAGTTAAACATAGTTCATAAATTCAAGACCTTTAATGAAACCAAAACTCTGCTGAGTATTTATTCCTTATGGTTGTATTTGCCTTCCTGCAGTTTTTCTTGCCTAATTTCTATTTTATATCTTATTTTTATCCTAAGAATACTCGTTATATATATATATATATATATGTGTGTGTGTGTGTGTGTGTGTGTGTGTACACACACATATATATGTATATATAAATACCCTGGTCTACTTGGGGTGACAGAAAGGACAAAGGCCAGGTATTAGGAGACGTGCCACTAGCCATCTGGGTAACATCAGAGAAATCTCCCAGCTGTGCTAAGCTCCAAAGATTCATCTGAAACAATGGATAAAACTATTTGCTCTGCCTGCCTCACAAGTTTGTTGTAAAGATCAAGCAAAATCATGTATGTGAAAGTCCCCTACAAAGTATAAAGCAGCATTCAAATATAAAGTATTAAACTCTTTGCCGTTTTCCCTTGCTGCTCTGCAGCCATATTCAGTGTTTGGCTGGCATCTGCTGGCAGAAAGGACTTAGAATGGCGAGTGGGGTCACTACTCCTAAGCACATTGTGAGCCACTTGCTGCCAGCATTTTTTTTTCTTTAAAAAGTAGAAAGTGGTTCTGTCCTTGGAGAAGGTAACAGAAAACCCTTGATATGTGGCATCTCCTTTGCTGCTACGGCTCACCTTGCCAAAGTGCCTGCCAGTTTCAATTCAGTTCATTTCAGTTTAGGAACTGAGGGTGCCCCAGAGAATCCCATTGCATGGAACCTTTCCATGGTACTCAGATGGGACATGGATTCCACAAGCGCTGCTCCATCTCTCTGGCCTGTAATAGTTGCAGTAGTGATTGTCTCCACCTCACGGGGTTGTTGGGAAGATCAAATGAATTGACTATGTAACCAAGGCTGGCACAAAATAAATGTTAGGTAAACCTTAGCCAGTGTTGTGATTTATTTGTTGAACGCCCACTTGGGGCCAGGCAACATGCTAACCTCCTGGGATACACACAGGAGACCTTGTCCCTGCCCCTAGCGGGGGTGAGGGTCTGTCACTGTGAGCTAAAGTTAGGAGGTATAGGGAATTAACACCCCCCCCCCTCACCTCCCAGGTGCTTAGCTCCCCTAAGAATGTTCCTTTGGCTGACTTCCCGCTCAGTGGCATTGCAGGTTCATCATCTGGAGGTCAGATCCCACCGAGTTCCAGCCTTGGCAGTGGGTCCTATGGCTCCGGGACACCCCATCACTGAACTAGTTTCCAGCCCAAGGGAAGCTGGGAAGTTGTGAGAGCCCCCGGTAACGAACACGGGTTTGAAGAGCTCGGAGCCGCTGGGGCCCGCAACCACACGCGACAAACAGCTTCTTGGCGCTTCTCGCGGCCCGGGTGAGGACTGTCGTGCTTTTATCACTTGCAGTGGTTGGAGGGCGGCGGGGAAACCTGCGGGCCCGCGCCGCGGTCCGGGTGGCGCGGAGATCTCCACTAAGGCCCAGCTGGGGCGCGGGGGCGCGGGTAGCGACAGGGCCAGAGCGCCTCGAGTTAACAGTTACCGGTGGCGGGAAGGAAACTTTTGGTGCACGGGAGGTCGCGGCGGCGGGGGAGCGCACCCGGGAGCGGCCTCGAGGTGGACGGCTCAGCCACGCTGGGAAAGGGAGCACCGAGGCCCGGCTACTGGACGCGCTGCCAGCCCCCCGCCCCGCGCACCCCACCCCCTCTCTCCACCGCGCGCGCAGCGCCACGGCCGCTGTCAGAAGCGGCGAGATCCGCCCCGGCGAAGCAGGGCCGACTCGCACCCAGGACCCTGGGCCTCCGCCTTCCCTCCGAGCCTCCGAGAAGCACCCGGCCCTTCCCTGCCCCCGAGGAGCGACGCGGGCTGGCAGGACGTCCCGAGAAAGCCAGCCGCTCGCAACCACGTCCCGGCCCGGCCCGGGCGCGCCGAGGAGCAGAGCCAGGGGCCGGAGTCCGCTCGGGCTCCCTCCCGGGCGCGCCGCAGCCCAGGGCCGCCGCTTCGGCTGTAGTCTCGGGCGACGCCTTCCCGGGCCGTGGCTTCCTGCTGCGCTCCCAACTTCCCCCGGCTGCAGCCGCTGGGAGAGAGAAAGCTCGCCTATCAGGTAGGGAAGGCTGCGGGTTCCTAGGCTCCGGCTCCCGCTCGGGCGGGCGTGTTTCTGAAAGTTGATTTGAAATGCATCCAAGAGTGAGCCGGGCCAGCCGCGGCTCCTCCCTGAGGCGACTCCTTTGCTCCTGCAGACATTCCCGGCACCGGCCGACCGGCGGGAGGACCTCCCCGCGCGCCCCGCACGCCTGCTCCCGCGCGCCCCCCGCTAGAGCGCAGCGCCGGAGTCCGGAAGCAGGCGGGACGCTCTCCTGGTCCCTCGCTCTGCCCCTACCCGATCCCGGGCAGGTGAGGGCTGCAACCGGGCGGTCGGGACGCGAGTTGCTGACCCCGTTCCCCGCGTGCCTAGACTCGCTCGCTGCGCGAGGGAGGGCACCCACTCCTTTTATCCCCATCATACCCCAGTAGCTGGGTTCCTGCAGAGACGTCCCTAGGGCCCACATTCGTATAGGTTGGGGCGGAGTCGGACTCGGGATGGAAAACCTGGGCTGGGGACAGAGGTGTTGCGGGGGGGGAGAAACGCAGTTGGGGGCGGAGGCCTAAGTACATAACGCCTAGACTTCAAGTGAAATCAGATCAGTCAGAGCAGTTCGCTGTGACTGTCTCCCCTCCCACCCTGCATTTCTCTTGGCCGGACTCTACCCTCCCTGCTCACTCTGGTCGTCCTGGTCACTCCCTCCGTTCTTTCCCAGGAGTGCGGCGGCTGCGGGCGCCCAGTCCCAGCGGGCACCGACGCCAGACGCATCGTTGCCTCTCCTCTGCAGGTCTGCCCAGCCCTGCCCGAACATGCTGGACGGCCTGAAGATGGAGGAGAACTTCCAAAGCGCGATCGAGACCTCGGCCTCCTTCTCTTCGCTGCTGGGTGAGTGGTCAGGCCGTGCGCACGGGGCGCGCCCTCTTTCCACCATGCCCCAGCTCTGGAGGCCAGCAGGCTGGGACCCGATCGGCGATGGGGGAGCTAGCGCCCCTCTTCACTCACTCAGTTGAGCCCACTCACTGTCCGTCAGTCCTTGCGGGTCTTCCCTACCCAAATAAAATCAATGAGCCGCCCCAGGCCACACGCGCAGGGCACCGAATTCCCCAAAGCGGCGAGGGGCGGGCAAGCTCGTTCGTAGGCGTGTGAGTGGCAAGTGATTAAAAATACCCAGGGCTGGATTTTTAATCACGGAGCTGATCGACGTCTCATAAATGCCGCCCTCTTCTCCGTGGCCTAGGGGCGAGCATCCGAGACCCGAGGCCGGGAGCGTCCAAGTTCGAGGCGGCTTCTCGCCCCCACCAACTCCAGCCCCAATTTCAGCCTTGGGCACGGCCGAGAGACTTTTCCGGGCCGGTGGGCAGCGCAGCGCGGGGATTAGCCTGCGCGGCAGGGCCCTAGCCTCGGCTTTAATTAACTGGAGCTGGATCCCGGGTCCGGTGGGTCGCCCGCCCCCCAGCTCCTTCCCAGCGACGGCGGAAGAGCAGCGAGTCAAGGGCCCCTGAAGAGGGTCCACGCGCGGGGCTCGAGGAGCTTAGCCCAGGGATTCTGCTCTCGCCTCCCCTCCCCCGCCCCATCCTTAGCGATTTTCAAGTTTGGGGACGGGCGTTTTATTTTATTTTTTAGCTGGAGGGATTTTCCGTTTTGTCATTGAAACCTCTCGCCTCCTTCCTTCACTGGGAACGGCTAGAGTGGGGTGAGTGTGGAGGATGAGACAGTTCTGCTGGAGAAACCGTATCCGCAGGGGAATCTCCGCACCCCGCACGCAGCACCTCAGACGAAACGAAATCACTCCCCTCTTTCAACCCCCCTTTCGAGAAAGTACGGCCTCTGTCCAGCCTCCGGGAGGCTAGAGTCAGCGCTGCCCCGGCGGGCTGCGCGTGCGGACCCAGGTACACAGCCGGCGTCGCCTTTCGCCCTGTGTCCTCGGCCGGACCGGCGTGGGCTTTTCCGAACGCCTGGGTCGTGGCCCGGGACGCCGAGACGCTACAGAAAGAAAGAATTTTAAAATTGAGAACGTCCTCGCTGCTTTTCCTAGCCCTCTTTGCCCGTCCCTCAAAGCGGCCGGCACGGCTCCCGAGCCGGTACCGGGCCAGGCCCCTGGAAGGGAAAGCGAGCTGAGCGTAGCAGTGGAACCCGGCAGCGGCGGCCCTCCGGGACTCCACGCGCGAATGTCGTTGCCGGGGCACGAGGACTTCTTTAAGCAGCAGTGAAATGTGCAGACTGATGCGGCCGAGCGTCCTCCCTTGCAAAAAAGCAACCACCCCCACCCGCGCAAACTAAGGGAACAAAACACAAAAAGTCCGAGAGGTAGCACGCAGTGTATTCCCTGCCCGCACCGAGTCCGTTTGGGGACCGTTTCTCCCCCACGCGCGGCTGCTGAGCTTGCTTGGTTTCGGGAGTCCCGGCCGGGACACTAAGCGGCTTCTCCGCGGCCTGCTTCCCCCTGTTTTCCTACTTCCCTCTATTTTTGATGCTTCTTAATTATTTTTTTTTAAAAAAAGCCATCGATAACTTGCATGCCAGCTAAGGCGCTGCAGTTTAGGAGGGTTCATTGGTTTGAACAATACTGGGTTTGCCTAGGGGCAAGACGGTATTTTACTGTAGCCACAGTACTTTTTAGGAAGAAAAGAGAGACATGTTAAAGTTTCCATCAAAATATAGAACAGAATAGCATTTTAACATAAGACAAAAAAAAAACCCAAACAAATTATTTTTACTCATTCTCGGTTTAAAAATAGACAACAGACACCAGCCTAGTGAGTGTTTTAATGATTAATGACGACGCTATAAACCTGGGAGCACAAATTTATTTGTTATCTAATTTTACGGATGCGCGCACGTCTGTGCGCATACCTGGGTATATTTGATAATTAAAGGGCACTTATTGATTTCCGCCCCCTTCCCCGGCTAGGATTTAAACCTTCCCACATTGTCCCTGTTTATTAGAAATGGCACTTGATTTGATGTTTCCAAGTCTTGGCTTGGTTGATTAGCAGAGGGCTCCCTGGGGCGGGGACGCGCGGGGGAACCGGTGGGTGAGAAGAAGGGATCGGAGGGGGCCCGGCTGGGTCTGGCAGGGTCGACCCGCCGCGGTGGCTCACCCGCGAACGTCTGTTGCGGCTGCAGGCAGAGCGGTGAGCCCCAAGTCTGTCTGCGAGGGCTGTCAGCGGGTCATCTTGGACAGGTTTCTGCTGCGGCTCAACGACAGCTTCTGGCATGAGCAGTGCGTGCAGTGCGCCTCCTGCAAAGAGCCCCTGGAGACCACCTGCTTCTACCGGGACAAGAAGCTCTACTGCAAGTACGACTATGAAAAGTAAGTGTCCGCGCTGCGGGGGCCCTCCCCACGCGCTAGCACCTGTGTGCGCCCGCGACTTTGTCCTCCCTCCCCTCCCTCTCCCGGCTTCTGGAAGGCTCAAGAGTCACCTGCACTCCCAGAGACGCAGAAGTCCCCTTCATCCCAGTCCTGTACACTCCCCGAGGGGGCGAGGAGTGACAGAGATGTGTGCGCGCCACGGCCCGCGTCCCGCAGAAGCGCGCGCGCGCGATCGCTTCCCTCCCCTGACTGCTTGTCTAGTTTTTAGTCTTCCCGGACCCCTTCCCTCCCCCACCCCCGCCCCCACGACTTGGCCATTCCCAGAGGCCACTCTTTGTCAGGGCCCTCCGACCCCTCCAAGCTTGGTCCCCTTGTTCACCGGGGTGCTCTGCGGACTGCCAGTGACCAGTGTCTCCTTGCTCGTTCCCACTCGGTCTTACCCTGGCGCCTGCGCCATCCTCGCGCTTGTGCCTGGCGGTGCCGGGCTGTGAGGCTGTGTTGTCCCTTGTCTGCGTTTCCGGCTTGGGTTTGTCCACTGGAGTCCGGACAGGTTGGACTCCGAAAAGGCGCTGCTGCAGCTCGAAGCTAAGCACACGATCTGTTCGCCTTTCCTCTCCCTGTCTCCCTCCCGGGTTTCTCCAAAGCCCTCGGGCCACGGGCTGTTAGACCCAGTAGTAGAGGCCTGACCCGAAGCCCTCTCCTCCAACCTGTGCCTTCCCCGAGTTCCCGTGGGGGTACACTGCCCTGCCACGGAGCAGGTTCGGTTCCCTCCCGTTCCCACGGACGTTCTGATGCGTTTTGAGGAGAATTGGGACGCAGGTATTTAAGAAAGTGGATTATTTCGAATCTAGGCTTCTGTGATGCCTAAAGCCTGGATGAGGCCAGGGAGTGGGGGGTAGAAGTATTTCCTTATTCTCCACGGGCAGGCCCTGAGGAGCTCAGAGAATGTAAGGAGAGGGAAACGCTTTTCCTTGCGAAAATGGCAAATGAATTGGGGCATTGCTTTGGCAGGACTGCGGAGGTGACTGAAGGAAAGCAAAGCGCCCCGATTCGGAGGCCTGTGTTTTTGTACATCAGGACTGGTATATTCTGGCTTTGTGGGCGCGCGCGCGCGTGCACGCGCAGGGACATTCTACATTTGTCACCGGTGAATAAAAGGGAGCTATATGAGGATAATCAAAGGAGGGTTAGTGTGAGTGAAAAGCAGTTCCTATCCTGTTATTAAAACACACACAATGAAAGGGGGTGTGCGGGAGAAGTCTCAATGTAACAAAAAGCACTGAGAAAGAGCAGAAATATTTTGTTTTCCGTGTTGTCTGGGCTATGAGGTTTTCTGAAAACTGCCAAAGTGATTTGTGACCACAGAGGAAAAAAAAAATTACTTCTGCCACTCAGTGGTCCTTTGCTTAAAATGCTTGAATTTTTCCCCCAGATGGAGAGGGTACTAGACATTTTTGTTGTTGTTTTGAAAAGAGTAATAATAACTTTTTTTTCAGGGCTGAAAGATGTGCTTGATTTTGGATGAGTTGGACAATACAGAAATATATAAAGAAGCGAACACTCCTTATGACCACTTCACGAAGTGATAATTATGCTTAACATTTTTGAAAGAAGATATGCCCGTCTCTGTTCTTGGTTGTCTGTTTACAGCCACAGTGTCTGTCTGAGAGAAAAGTGCGGTTTTTAGGTAAAAAGAAGCAGATTTTGCCCACACCACTTCAAGTATCACCTCTGAATAAAGCTTCTAGTAGATTGCTCAGGCCCGCCCTCCCCTTGCTTTTCATCCGAAGGTTTGGGCATTGTGTGGACCCAATCTTTAACTTTCTGCTTATAGATTACTGAAGTGTCCACAACACTAGCAAATTCACAAGTATTGGAGCTTAGGAAAGGATTTGGGTTGTGAATTTCTATTCTGTTTGTTAAAAAAAAAAAATCACAAATCAAAGAAGGCTTAAGGGTCAACACAGCTGTCTGGCCAGTCAAATCTTCTTTAAGGAAGTCAGGCTGTGTCAAGAGGAGAAGAAACAGTTGTCGTAAAGTACTTAACACAACAATGTCCCTTCCATTTCATCCCTCCAGGTTTGGCGGGGTTTGGGCTTATTAGCCCGTGAGGGTCAGTCCTCTCCTCACAAAGCTATTTCTGCAAAGGGAAAATTGGAGGGATCAACTTGCCAGCTGTTGGCCAGAACCAAGAAGATTTTATAGAGGGATATAAGCTACATTGTTCAGAGAGGTGTTGGTGTTACAGTGAAGAATTTTAATTTTAAGATATTTTTTGAAACACGGATGTCCAAAATTGAATTTTGTGTGTTGTCCTCTTTAAAAGCTCCTGGAATGTTAGCACTCCTGCTCTGTGCCCAGCCTATCAATGGCTTGTTAGGTTAATTTATTCCTTTCAAAAATTCCTTTTTTCCTCCTCTACGCCCCATCCCGATCCCATTCTTTTTTTTTCAGCAAAATAGGGTATTACTAATATTCGATCATGTTAATGGTGTTAGCCTGCATGGTAGTGCTGGAGCAGAGAAAGGAAGGGTGGTTTTGTTTTGTTTTGCCTTTTTGTAAACAATTAAGCTCAGGGCAAATTCCTTTATTCAACAAGCTTTTATGGAGCTTTTATGTGCAAGACCCTGGGCTAGGAGAGGAGAGGATAGTGAGACAGAGTCTCAGAGCCTGCCTTCAAGAGGCTTATAGCTGAGCACTTTTCCACTTCTGTTGTCCTAACTATCAAGTATTTCTCAACAGCTTCCTCCACATAGAGTGCAGGACTAGGAATTGCACAGAAACTATCTGGAGGGTCTGGATATTTATCCTCCAGAGGGATACAACTCAATTTTAAACAATAGTCACGGAAAGCATTTTTTTCTCTTTAAAAGCTGCATTTATAAAAATAGCTTTGCTTTTTTTTTTTTTTTTGGTGGCTTTTTAAATATTTTGAGGCTCGGACAAGGGTAAAGGGAGAGAAAACGAGACAGAAGTTAAGTGGTAGGACAATGTTAACTTATGGAACACTTAATAAAATATGAAGATACAGGCAGCACCCTGGCCTCCCAAAATTCATGAAGTTCAAATAGTATTTCTACACATTTAAATGAAATAATATATAGCTAACAATGTGCAGTTTTCAATGATAGTCATAAACATAATATCAACAGAGCAGATTTATCGTATTTATTTTAGGCCTGTGTATGTGCATTTCTGGCTGTTGGGCAGTTTCGCATTTGAATTATTAGCTCGGTATCCATGGTGTCTGCCAGTTAAAAAGTGAAAATTTCATTCTATCAATTAATCGTTACACCTTCATGATGTCAAGCATTACATTTTTCTAATTAAAAAAAAATAGAATCGACAGTGGCGTCTTAGACACACGAACCATTCATTTGAAGACTTTAGGATGTTTTGTTAAGTATTTGTCTCATATACTATGACACCCTTAGGAATAATTTATCTCTTGATTACCTAAAGCAAATAGGCATTTAAGGCAAGAGTATAGAACACTGATTTACGAATGCCCAGAAATTAAGAACTGGAGGCGACATTTGCACAATTGATGGGGCCATACACGTCATATAAAACATTAGGGTGCGATAGGTGTGACTGTTTAAAAAACTGGATTCAACTGTCTTCAATGTTCCTGAAAGTTAGCAGACAACCAAAATATTTTCCAGCCTAGGGGACTTCTATTTATATAACTGTTGTTCCCTATTTAACTGAGTCCTCTATGATCTGGTTAGTTTGGAGTTTTCCCTGAATTTGTTCCAAACAAATACTGCAGTTGGACTTCAGTCTGAGACGGAAGAGACTGCTGAATAACGGGAATGTGGTAATACAATAGATAATTAAGCCTTCTGGAAGGGGTCCCACACTTAAATCAAGTTTAGATTGTTTCTTTCATGTGCCTGGCGCTCCGTGGGCCAGGCGGGGCCCTCTCCCCTCACATATGAAGTTTATCATGATCCCTTGGATTGTTCTGGACATCCTAGGAGCAATGTGGGATAGCGTTGCTGTCATCAGGGCTGTTCTCACAACGTTGTAATTCCCCACATGTCAGCAAATCACAGGCCTTGGGAAACCTTTCCTCAGAGAGCCGGTTGATATTTCCTTCCTTCTCTTTTGGAGCAGACCAATTTTCCAGAGAAAGGGGAAAAAGGGGGAGCAGCGAGTGGATATCACACTTAGAGTTTTTCTCTGTGTGTTTCTTTTGACTCCATGGTGAAAACGACTTAGGTAATGATATCTATTAGGGTCAGTAATGAACTAATTTTGCATTTTATCAGGGTGCTGTAGGTGTATGTGTGTAAGGAGCCATTAGTTTGGTTGTATTACTGTGACATTACTTGGAGATCCAAATTGGGCATGTAGTTACTCATAAAGTAGCCCATAGATGAAATTACAGAGGCAATTGTTAGATTTTTGCTTTATCTTTTGTTGGCACCGCCCCGGGCACAATAAAATTTAAGGAATATAAGAATCAAACACAGCTAGGTAATAAACTGATGTCTGTGTTAAATTGCAGGGGGCTTAGCTCGACGTAAGCACAGTCTATGGTTATGGCTATGTTTGTGTAGGCAGCTTTTCTCTCTCTTTTTAATTTTAGAGGGTGATTGGAAACATTCCTTGCTCAGAGGTGTTTTCTCTTTTTATATGTATTGGTCCCTGGGTAAGACTTTCTTGGAATCTAAGACTTAAAATTTTGAAATAAAATCAGATAGCAGAAGTAGATATTAATAGTATTCTGGGAATTAAAATACTAGATATGAACATTCCTTTTTAGAGTAAGGCTTATGAGCTTCTTTTGATCCTTACATAAATGGAACACATTTAAAACAGTTATTTATCCAGTCTGGTTTTACATACTGTAGAGTCCTGGGACTTTTGTCATCTACCTGGGTAGAAAGTAGCTTTTGATATTTAGATTCCACTGACAAGAGCTTTTCTGATACTTCCTTGTTTTGTTGCCTTTTAATTTCATTTTTCTTATTTATAGCCTTTGTATTAACCAA